GCTCAGGGGCTGAGGTAAGAGGGAGGACATGGTGGCCTGACTTCACTCATGTCCTCAGGCTCAGACTCAGCCCTGGAAGAGAGTCCCTATGAGAGATTTGCACCCGGATGTCTGAGCCGATTCTCTTCCCATCAGGGCCCCAGTCCACTCCAGCTGCCTGAGCCCTGAGGTTCCCATGAACAAGGAGGTGTGGAGACTCCCCATCCCCTCCTGCTGTGCCCCTTCCCGCTCTCCGCAGCTGACCGAGGCAGAGAGGATGGAAACCATGGCACCTGTTCTGAGTGCTCCCGCTGTGCAGATGGAGGAGACCACGGGGCCCGAAGGACAGAGAGATGCACAAGATGTGGTAAGTCAGGGGCTGCTGCCGCCCATTCGGGTTCCCACAGCTGTGGACCCACAGGAAGGGGATGACCCCTCCCTGGGCCTGGCTCTGCTTTGCTCCAGGGCAGGGGCTCAGGAGAACTCCAGGCCCCCTGGAGACATCTCAGCCCAGAGCTGAGGTCTCACCTGGTTCCCATGACTCTTTCTGCCTAGCCTGAATCCCGCTCGGGGTGGGTGAGGACCCAGGTTCTCATCCTGAGCCCGTCTCTGACAGTCTGGCTCTGAATAGGACCTGCCACTTATTTCCTCAGCTCCTCCACAATTGGAATTTACTTTCTGTCTTTGTCCAGTCCATGAACAAATATTTACTGAGCTCCTACTATGAACAAGTCATTGGTGTGAGACACCAGAAATATATCCGTGATCCAGGTAAATCATTTGCTGTATTTTGAGAAGTCAGATTAACAGAATATGGACATTCAAAGGCTAATATTACCACTAGTTTATTGACAAGGGAAAAATATGAAGATTACGAGAATAATTGGAGACCATGACTAGACTATGATTGAGGAGGGGGAGACCTATGGGATGGGACACCTATGAGAACTTTCTAGAGATGAAAGAAGATTCTAGAGAAGCCTGCGACGACACGGAGAATGTCTGAAAGGGAAGAGGAGAGGGGAAGGTGGTGACTAATTATGCAAGGTGCCGTCCACGGTGCCAGGACATTGTATTTTATTTTTAAGAGAAATAGAATACATTAGCAAAGACTGTTATGATAAAAAAATTTATGAGACTCATATTATGTGCCATACAGCAAATAAATAAAAAGAAGTAAAAATAATTGAACTCCATTACTCCTACACTAGCATGTCAATCAGTAAAGTAAATGATTTACATGAACTTCTCAATATGAAGCTCGCATGCCCCTTAATGAGGCGCAAACACATAACAGAGGTTAGAGATGATACAGAGTTACCTTTGTTGTTTTTTGGACTGGGAATTGGGAAGGAATTTCTCTGGTCCAACCTCTGCAGAGGACTGATATGGGAAAACACAGAAGTGTTTAATGGCCCAGCATCTGAGTGTGTGTGTATATTTGTGGTGTAACTGTACTGTCTAGTTTAGAGGGAGGGAGAAGTGAGAAATGAGGGTGGAGGGTCACATCTGGACTGATCATGAACAACCTTGAGTTCAGAGAGAAGAGTTTGGAGTTGCCCCTGAAGACAGTGAGGACCATGGAAGGATGTGGGGCAGGGAAGGGACAGATCCTGAAATGGAAGAATGGTTAGAGAGACTGATATGTGGAGGGTGAACTGGAGAAGGTAGTGTGGGCCGGCAGCTCAGAAACCAATAAAGTGGTGGATGTGACCACACAAGCCAGATGTGTCCAGGTGTGGGCTCTGGGCTGGACTCTGTGGATGGGAGGGTAGCAGGGGTCAGAGGGATTCTGGAGGCTGAATGGCTTTTATTGGGTGATTGACTGAGAGGTCTAAGAGACAAGGAAGTGAAGGCAACCTTCCCTCTCTGCCTTGGTTGAGTGGAGACATCAATGGTGCCCTCAGAGACATGGTGAGCCACGTGGTGGTGGGGATGGAGAGGCCTGGGGAGTTTGGTACAATATGCTTCTGCTCCCACAGGAAAGCACAACTCTTCCTCTTGTTCCTGGAATGTGGGTTTTCCTTCTCGCAAACAGCTCCCTGAGTGACATGCTGGTTTCTGTAAAAAGCAGGACCCCTCTCTCTATCACCTTGGGGTGAATCAGTTGAGTCATTTCTGCCTGTTGAGAGCACCCTTCAATGCTGGGTGTCGCTCACCACTTAACCCTGTGGAGAGTTCAGAATTCAGACAAGAATGGTCTTCATCATTGTTCCTGTTTCAGGACAGTGATATATGCAAGAGCAAGAGAAGAAGTAGCTGCTAAAGATGGTCAACCCATTCAGGAAGTGGCAGTACTACAATTTATATTAATGTTTATATTTATTTTTTATTTCCTCACTCACATATTAATTACTTAATTTAATGTACCTATCTACCTATCCGTCCAATTTTATATAGACGTGGTTGACATACAGCACTAAGTTTACAGTGCACAGCATAATCACTTAACTTACACATATAGTGAAAAGATGACCACAGTAAACTTAGTTAACATCCATCATCTCACATAGAAAAAAATAAAAGAAAAAAATGGCTTTTTTCCTGTAATGAGAACTCTCATCTGCTCTCTACTCTCTAGATCTACTCTCTAACAACTTTCAGATATACCGTATTATCAGTGCTAACTACGCTCATCATATTGGTCATTCCATCCCCAGTCCTTATCTATCTTATAACAGAAGGTTTATATCTCTTGGCCCCCTTCATCCAGTTCTCCCTCCCCCACCCTTGACTCTAGTGAACACAAATATAATCTCTTTTTCTAGGAGTTTCTTTTTTTGTTTTTAGATTCCACATATAAGTGAGATCATACAGAATTTGTCTTTCTCTGACTTATCTCATTTAGCATAATGCCTTCAAGGTCCATCTATGTTGTTGCAAATGGAAGGATTTCCTTCTTTTTATGGCTGACTAATATTCCAGTGTACATTCACTTCTTTGTTCTTGATTTTGTTGCTTGTGAAAGAGTGTTGATAAAAACTTGAACAAAGTTTCCCTTAAAAGACAATTTTAAATAACAACAGTTATGCATGGGAGAAAGGAGCAAGTTCTACTTGAGGAAAATGAGGTAAAATATGAGCCATGATCTGATCCTGCATCAGAGCATGCCCTGAGGTCCAGGTGGCCCTGCCTGATTACCAGTCCTCTCCCCTGAGGTGGGTCTAGTGGGAGGCCCTGCAGATCCTAGTTTCAAGAACAGGTCAGAGAAGTCGTTGGAGGTCCTGGTCCTAGGAGGGCTCTGTGGCTCCCGTATTCTGTCCCCCTCTCATTATAGAGATGACCCTTATCTGCTCCTACTCCAGTTTCAGAAATTCACAGCCTCCTTCAGGGGAACACAGAGCTGGGTTAGCCTCTTGGGAGTGTGCAGGTAGTGTCCAGGACAAAATAAGAACCTAGGATCCACAGGACATGCTGCTCTCCTTGTACTTGCAGAAGTGTCACCATGGGTCCCCCAGTGTCATCTCTATCAGCCCCAACTCCTCTGCAACCCTCCAGCCCTGGGTAAAACACACTGTTTTTGATCCACACAGTAATGAGGGAATGGGGAAGACTCAAACACCTGTGCCTAGATCCATTGGCTCAGACAGAATCCTGGAAGGAAACCACATCAGAGATGATGATTTGTCTCCAGTGGATCCCAGGCTTCAGTGAAGCTCCATCCATGGAACCTGGTCATGTGCCGTGAGGAAGCCCAGCTTTCCACCATGACCCTCTCCTCCCTTCCCTTCCAGGACTCACCAAGACCCAGGAGGCTGAGGAATTTGGGGGACGTGGTGCTGCTTCTGTCAGGCAGGAGACAGGAGCCAAGCAAGGCTGACAAGTTCACAGGATGTGGTGGGCAGGGTCCCCACATCAAAGTTTGTAGCGTTCACAAGGTGCCTGACACACAGGAAGAGGACTGGCGTCTTGTCACCCTAAAGGTCAGGGATGCTCAGGGTCTGTTTTGAGCCATGTCACTGAACATGCCACATGTCCAAAGTCACATTTATTTTTCCTAAACTCTACTCTCATGTAAGGATTTTAACAGATCTTTGCTGCATTTTTACGTCATAGATATTATTCAATTTATAACATGCAAGATTCCCTTCTCCAGCTAATATATAAATATTATCATTATACAACTCTTTGCAAAAAGAATATCCAATGTGTCTCCCACTAATATTTTTTAGGCTTTGTACTACCTGAAAATTCTTTATTTCCGTAAATAAAAAAAACAAAGCAGCTAACTAGAACCTTTGTTTCTCTCTCCCCGCCCCCCCCAGCTTTATTGGGACATAATTGACAAAAAGGAATCGTATATATTTAACGTGTACATCTTGATGTTGTGGAATATATGTACATTTTGAAAAGATCACCATGTCAAGCTAATTAACACGTCAGTCACTTCACATAGTTACCGTGTGTGTGTGTCTGTGTGGTGAGAACTCTTGAGATCTCTTAGCAAATTTCAAGTGTATAACACATTGTTATCACCTATAGTCACCACACTGTACCTTAGGTCTCCAGAAATTATTCATCTTATAACTGACAGTTTGTAACATTTGATCAACATCTCTCCATTTTCCCCAGCCTCTAGTCTCTGGTAATCACCATTCAACTCTGTGTTACCAAGAGTTTAGCTTTTTTTTCCCACTACATATAAGTGAAATCATGCAATATTTCTCTTCCTATATCTGGCTTATTTTACTTAGTGTATTGTCCTCCAGGTTCATCTGTGTTGTCATAAATGGTGGAATTTCTATCCTTTCTTAAGGCTGAATAATGTTCCATTGTATGCACCACATTTTCTAATCCTCATGCCCTTTGATGGACACTCATGTTGTTCCCTTATCTTGGTTGTTGAGAATGATGCTGCAATACACACAGGGTGCAGATATCACTTTGACATCCTGATTTCCTTTCCTTTGGATATACCCCCAGAATGGCATTGCTGGATCACATCGTAGTTCTATTTTCAGTTTTCTAAGGAACCTCTGTACTAGCTGTCGGGTCTGTGGGTGGCTGCCAGCACTGTCTGTGGGCTGGCTGAGATCCCGTGTTGTCTGCTGTGAGCTCCTCTCCATTTCTTTGTGCTTTGCTGCCCCCAGAGGATCCAGCCATGCTGATTCCCTCAGCAGGACAGAAGGGGGCTTTCAGGCAGCACCTGGAAATGCTTCAGATGTGACGCTCACGTTGCTCTCTTCCCTCCTGGGAGGAATCGCAGGTGGAGGGGCCTCTCTCTGTGCTGAGCTGAGCCAGCTGGTGGGAAGGGTGATGCAGGTGAGGTGAAGCTCATCTCTGCACCCTTTCCAATGTGGTTCTTCTCAGGCTGTGTGCTCCACCAGCATGCTCAGACCTTACACCTGGACTCCACAGCTTTCATAAAGATATTTACGTCTGCGGATGGTGGTTAAATCGTGGTTTCTGTGGGCGATGAGTGCTGGGTCTTCCTATCTCACCATCTTGCTGCTGTGCATCGTTGCCATTTTATTTTGCATTTCCCCGATGACTAATCATGGTGAGTATCTTTTCCAGTGCTCATTGTGTATTTGTGAAAATATTTCTTCCTTGCCAAATATCTTTTCTGTAGAAATGTCTACCCAAGTCCTTTAAACAATTATTTAATTGGATTTGTTTGTGTGGTTGAGTTGTATGTATTCTTTACATAACCTACACCAGGCCATTACCAGATATAGAATATGCAAATGTTTTCTCCAATTCTGTATGTTTTCTTTTCACTTTCTTGAGAGTGTCCTTGGATTCACACACATCTTTAATTTTGATGAAGTCTTATGTATGTGGAGGTTGTTTTGGTTTATTGTGCTTTTAGTGTTCTTTCCAAGAAAACCTTGGAGACACATGGTCATGAGCATTTACCAGTATGTTTTCTTTTGAGGTTTATAATACTATAAACCTCAATATCTCAATAGGTGTGTTTTTAATGATTTTTTTTGTAAGGAAGATTAGCCTGAGTTATCATCTGTGCCTTCTTGCTCCACTTGGCTTGTGGGATGCCTCCACAGTGTGAGTGGTGAGTGGAGTAGGTCCACACCTGGGATCCTAACCAGTGAACTCAGGCTGCCAAGGTGGAGCACGCAGAACTGTAACCATTTGGCCTTGGGGCCAGCCCCCATATTAGCTATTATACTGATCCATTTTGAGGTCATTTTGGTGTATGCTGTGTTGTGAGAGTCCAACTTCATTCTTTTCTGTGTTTTCTTTTTTAATTCAGTTATCAGACACCATTTGTCAAAGACACCAAGTCTTAGCGATACTGTGTCTGTTTTTCAAGGTGAAGCATCCAGTGAGTTTCCATCTGGGAACAGAATCAAGACAAGCCTGAGTCCAACATCTGGCATCCTCTGCACGCAGCTGTCTTTCCCTGATTCCCCTTCAGTGGGGTCCAAGAAGAGACCAGGCCACCTGAGTATTGTTAAATCTGGAACCAATCCCTGTGTGATCCCTAAACCATGATATGATGGGATTGTCCCCATCTTTGAAAGAACCCCCAAGTCCATACTGGTGTGCTGATCCCAATTCAGATTGTTTGAACAAAATGGTGTCAGAAATTCCAGTGACCATTTAAAAGTTTCATTGGCATGTCAAGTGATACTGGGTAAGGTGTTTTCTCCTCTGATGCCCAGTTTCTCCGCCAGGCAGGGACCACTGTTTGACTGGACTTTGTGAGGCTAATCAGGCAGGTGGTGTATGCGTTTTGAGGCAACCAAACTGCCAAGATGTGACATATTTGCTATAACACATCAACAGCCACTTTGTTGGAAGATCAATGCCTGGTTCAGGCTGTGGATTTCACCCCCTATTTCAGACCCAGCTCACTAAATTGTACGGAAAATAAAGATAGGTTGCAAAATGGAAATCCACTGATTACTAGTATGACAACTGCACTTATGAGTCACCAGATGAAAGTGAAGAGAAACATCACCAGATTTCCAGAAGCCCCTGTGGTTTCCATTTTGAATAAACCTTTCAAAATTACATATATTTAACCACTAAATAGATCATATGAGATTCTTTCTCTTCTTTATTAACTGGATTCATCTTAAGCATTCCTGCCTCATGAAAAATGATGTCTCTTTCTGAACTTTATGCAAAGAGAAGGCCCCACATGCCTCCCTTTGATAATCTTTCATTTACTCCTCACCATGTTTGAAGATTGATATACATTGCTCTTAGTAGATTTAGTCATCCTCAGCCCATCTGTCAGAACACCCCTGTGGGGTCCTCAGTGTGGACAGTGGTCATCCAGGCCCTGGAGATTCCTCAGGGAAGATGCAGGGTCCTGCTTCACTGCAGAGCTCAGATCAGCAGAGACATGTGCTCAACATCTAACTGTACAGTTCAGGTTGAGGTCACTGTGACAATGAGCACAAAGGAGAACTACAGGGAAAAAAGGGAAGGAAACATCACTCCTCTCCTGGCCCTGGGATGTGGGTTTTCTTTCTATCACAGCCCTCTTAATGAACTCTTTTATTTCCTGCATCCACCCCCTTCTCTTTTGGAACAACCCTCTGAATCATTCCTGCCTCCTCAGACCCCTTGTTCCCTTGAGCTCTCTTCCTCATCCTGGGGTCTTATCTTGAGTTTTAGGGAACAATGAGTGGGCTAGTGCTCTGATTTGGGGCACAAAGCTGATTCTTATTTAAAAACTCCTCTGTCATCCACTTCCCATATGAACTTGAGGGTTAACACCCAATATGTGAGCCTCAGTTTCCTCATCTGCAGCATGTTGTCAGGAACCCCACTCAAAGTGGTCGTGGGGTCAGTTATCCTAAACCGCAGGAGGGATTAATCTTGTGAATTTTTAGACCTGATAAAGACATGTGAGGTTTGATACGTGAGAGGATCAAGGTGTCGGACTTCACACTCAGAGTAGATAATTGACTTGTCCACTCTAAAATCCTCATGTGCTCCTAACACTGAGAAATGCTGTTTATAATATTTCTGAAGTATGTAGTGACAGTCAATTGCAGAAAAAGAGAAATGAAATTTCCAAAATAGAAAAGGAACCACAACAAAAAGATACCAAAGCTGAGTGGCCAAAGGTGCCTGGGCCAATCAAGGGGTCATTAGATTGGAGGTTTCCACCTCTGTGTGGACTGGAGAGGGACTCCAGATGCTCACAGGCAGGGAGGGGAGCAGGGCTCAAGGTGAAAGTTCGAAGCTCTGTTGCCCCTTCCAATGCTTGAAGACAGGCACTGGGTTATCTCTGCCCACTGACCCAAGACTGTAGCCAACACTGAGCCATGTTCCCTGTGTATGAGAAAGAGATTCAATACAGTATAGTCCAACATGTGCATCTATTCATGTGTGAGTATGAGACTCATGGTGGAGCCAGCCCGGCTGGACACATCCCTAGTCAGATGCAAAGTTTGGGAAAGTGGATGACACAGGGCGGGGCAGCTGCAACAATCCACCCCTTTCAGCCCTGAAGGTCAGGACAGTCCTGGGAGGAACTCTGTATGGAAAATCAGGTGTGTGGGAGGTGAGCATTGAACAAGAATGGACATCAAACAGGAACCCCAATAGTGATAAATAGTGCTATGAAATACATTCTACAGAATCATTAATGTGGGTTGTCATAGCCAAAGAAATAGAATACTGGAATACGCAAAACTCATTTTAATATGTGTGTTTAGATATCTGAAAAAATATTGACGGAAAAGGAATTCTTGAAAAAACAACAGAGGTTGTATTATAGAAGAATTATAGAAGAACATAGGTTTTAGAAATGAATTTCACAAATACTTAGAGCTAAAAAACAATCCTTTCATTTAACACACTCAAAGTATTATTTTCATCAAGGAGATGTTACAACAGACACCCAATTATGAGGCTGAAATACAATCTTGAGGAAATTTGTAGGATGCAGTGCAGAGAGACTGGAATGAGAAAATTAAGATGCATGGGGACTAGAAAGAGAAGGACATGTATGCTGTGAGTTTCAGGGGAAAGCAGTGAGAATGACGTCTGCAGCAGTCCTAGAGGCAAATGGTGGGCATTTTACAGAAACATAGAAGGAACATGTAAGTGCTGGAGTGCATGGATATATCAATGAAATGTGAGTCTTGATATATCATGGCAAAGTGAAGGAAATTGTTGGAGAAAAGGCATTTCAAAAAATGGCAAAAGGTATGGGAAAAGGATATTCAACAAATTACTTGTGAGTCAAGAATTCTGTACTCACCCAAATTATTACTAATGGACAGGGGTGAAAGGGTTACCAGAGGAGAAATCCACAAATACAAGGAGACCCGGGGCACATCTGACCTGTTTGGACTCCTGTCTCATATGTTAAACTCACCATGTCAGGCTTCATCTTCATGAGGGTTGAGGAGGGCGTTTGGGGTAGATCTTTAACCATCAGAGGTATTTTCCTGTCCTCGCGGTTAGACCATATCCTTTACTTGAAATGAGATAATGTTTTCAAGTATCTTAAAAAAAATGAAGATTGAAAATAAGGCATTTCAAGATATGCAGTTTTAGATATTTTACTGTTTACTTGCTCACTGAAGCAGAGCTAAAGCACGTAATTAAACCAAAAGAACACTACACACAAAATAGAGAAAGCGAGGTGCAAAAGTGAGCAAAAGAGGCAAAACAAATAAACATTGGAAAACTATATTTGTATATACATGCACATGTACATTTATATTCAAGGAAGCTAGAACAAAATATTTGGAATGTTTGTTTATACGTGTGTCTGTGCGAGAGAGAGGGATTTTGAAAGAAGGTAGGTACTAAGGTTCAGCTCACGTGTAATGTCCATCTCTTATCTAAAAGAGAGAGTGATTAAAAAATTATGTACAATTATAAAGGTAAATGCCAATGTTTACAATGGGAGTAATAACCTAAGAATAGAAATACAACGTACAACTCCCAAACTGGTTGATGTAATTATATAAAACAAATAAATCTCAATCAAACCAAAAATGATCTGGAAATTCGATATAAAAGTAACAGAATGCAGGATATCATAATCCATAATGAACCCACACAAATAAAATGGTGGTAATGTTTTAAAATTGTTCATTTCTTACCAAACGTTAAAAGATTAATTGGCCATTTCAAGGATGAGACAAAAACATGCCCCCCAGAATAAAAGAGAGATATATATATAAAGTAAAATCTCATCTAAAACAAAACCATTAAAGAGTATTTTAAATCAATAAAGGAAATATTATTCTTATTGAATAAAATTAGCTGATCCCTACAAATGACCAAAAAAACTGAATGTAAGACAAAAATAATTTTATACGGAAAAATTATCTCATCTTTTAAAAAGATATATTCACTTTGAATACATAGCACTCATAAAGAACATTCATCTAAACACTGTTCATGAAATACATAAAGAATAATTAAATACATAATCAGAGATTCAAACAAATATTTATAAGATAGATTCAGTGGATGAAAGGAAATTTTTTATAAGAATAAATGACACACTTAAAAGCTTGATCTAATGTGTATAAATACTGTAAGGCTCTGCATTACTTATGTGGTGTTTATGTGAAAAAACAAGTAAGTAAATAAAATAAAATGTGATGCGATAAATACAGCGACAAGGAGGGACTACACATAGGTAAGGTCCCTATTGTACCTAAAATATTAAGCACTTAATAGATGAGAAAGCAAGTATTTCTAACTCTTTTCATATTTCCAGAATATGCATTATGTTCTCTGATTATGCTGCAATTTAATTAGTAATCAATGCAAAGAAGATATTATTAAAACACCCATTACTGTATGAAGTTAATAAAATACTAAAATATAAAATACCTGTTTAAGTTTATGAAATATTAAGGAAAAGGAATGACAAAATTATATCATATCAAACCTTGGAGAATATCAGAATTAAAAAAAGCAGACATATAGAGAGCTGTCAGCAGGAGGGCAGAATAACGGTTCCTACAATCATGACCCCACAGAAAAAAAATATTTTAAAATTATTTTATTGAGGTCATATTGGTTTATAACATTTTTAATTTCAGGTGTACATTATTATTTATCACTTTATGTATAGGCTGCATCATGCTCAATCCCAATAGGCTAGTTTTTGTTCTTCACCATACTTATGTGCCCGTTTACCCCTTTTGTCCCCCCTACACTTCCTTCCCCTCTGGTAACCACTAATCTGTTCTCTTTATTCCTGTGCTTATCTTCCACATATAAGCAAAATTATGTGATGTTTGTTTTTCTCTGTCTGGCTTACTTTGCTTAACATCATACCTCAAGGTCAAACCGTGTTGCTGCAAATAGGACTATTTTGTCTTTTTTAGAGTTGAGTAGAATTCCATTGTGTGTATATATACACAAATATATGTATCTTCTTTATCCATAGAAGGGCACTTTGAGTGCTTCCATGTCTTGGCTATTGTGAGTAATGCTGCAATGAACATATGGTGCATACATCTCTTTAGATTGTTGATTTCAAGTTCTGTGGATAAATACACAGTAGTGGGATAGATAAATCCTATGGTATTTCTATTTTTAAGTTTTTTAGAAGCATCCATACTATTTTCCATAGTATCTTCACCAGTTCGCAATCCCACCACCAGTGTATGAGTGTTCCCCTTTCTCCGTGTCCTCTGCAACATTTGCTATTTTTTGTCTTGGTAATTATAGCCGCTCTGACAAGTGTAAGGTGATATCTCATTGTAGTTTTGATTTGCATTTCCCTAATAATTAGTGATGTTGAATACGTTTTCATGTGTCTGTTGGTCATCTGTATTTTTTCTTTGGAAAAATGTCTGTACATATCTTCTGCCCATTTTTTGATTGGGATGTTTGTTTTTTGTTGTTGAGTTGTATGAGTTTTTTAATATATTTTGGAAATTAAGCCCTTGTCAGATACATGATTAGCAAATATTTTTTGCCAGTTAATGAGTTGTCTTTTAGTTTTGTTCATGGTTTCGTCTGCCTTGAAGAAGCTTTTAAGTCTGATGTAGCCCCATTTGTTTATTTTTTCCTTTGCTAAGTAACATGGTATTTGAAAAGATGCTGCTAAGACTGATGTCAAAGAGTGTACTGTCTATATTTTCTTTTAGGATTTTTATGGTTCCAGGTCTTCCATTCAAGTCTTTAATCTATTTTGAGTTAAGTTTATGTGTGATGTAAGATAATGGCCTACTTTCGTTGTTTTGCACACGGCTGTTCAGTTTTCCCAACTCCAGAAAATGCTGGACAGTACACAATGTGCAATAAATGGATTGCCCTTTGCTCTATGCGTGGCCAGCTTCATGGGTGTTGAGCTATGCAACCAGACAGATCAATGTTCATCTGTAACCATCTTGACATTTGAACATGCAGACCTGCATTTTCATTTTGCACTGTTACTCAAACTATGTAGCCGATCTCAATCACAAGATTTTCTTTTTGTATTTAATTGGCTCATTTTAGTAGTTACCTTGTTGGTATGTCTCAGCTGAGTGGAGTGGAAAATAGGGAATCCTGGGACCAAGGAACTGAGAGTCTAAATTTACAGAAATGAAAGGAGAGGGCAGCTGGGGCAGATTCACCACAGATTTGTGAGTGTGTGCACGTGTGAAATAAGCACTTTTCTCTCTGTCTTCCCATTTACTATCAATCCTTTCACCCACTCATTTTGTCAAAGTACATCTACAAATATCAACTATATTTCATACAATGTACCAAACATGAAAACTAAAATATGTGTATAACTCATATGGATTGTATTCTCTGAGATCCCTATTAGTCTTTTAGATGTGATAGATTCCATATAATTCATTACAAACGATATGTAATTACACATTCTGACATGAGTTACATGGAATAAATCCTTGGAGATGTAGATGAGATAACAGAGGATCATAAATAGTCTGAGCATCATACAAGGTTGACCTCGAGAGGTGAAGTGAAAGGATAGAGCTGAGACATGTGGAGGAGTCTTAGCTGATGTGAACAGGAGTGTTGAGAATTCCAGGAAAAAGCAAGTGTACAGATGAACGCCTCCATTTGGAAGGCATCACGGTTGCTGAGCTCTATGGGGACCGGGTTGTCCTAGAGTCAGGGCTGGGCTGATTTCCCTGCAGTCCACACGATTTCCATTCCAAGAAATACAGGGTAAGCATATGAGAACCCAGGCACTGTCCCAGCCCAGTTGGTCTGGTTCAGTGAAGGTGAGGGAACCAGATAGAATCAGACAGAAAGGATCCATAGTACTTGGCACGTGAGAACCTTAGACATAGGTTTTCTGCAGGAAAGGAGAGCTGCTTCTCTCCCATGACCTTTATTTGATTCCCCCTCAGTTGGGTCCAAAAACAGATCAGACAGCCTAACTGTAGTGCACTCTGGAACTAACCCCAGGGATATAAACCTAAAATACTAGCTGATACGGTTAAACCCCATTTCTGAAATCACTGCAAGGTCCATATTGGTGGGCTCCATCCAAATTCAGATTCGTGGGGCATTATGGGTTCAGGGACTGTCTTTAACCCATTTTAGATTCTTAATTGTGTATAGTCTGGTATTGGCAAAAGTGTTTGTCCAGAGGACCGGTTTCTCAACTGGAAACTGGCTTGCTATCTGAATGGATGCAGATGAGGCTGATAAGGCAGGAGAGATCAAGTTTTGAGGAAAACACAATGCCAACATGTGAAATATTTGTTGTAACTGATCAGCAGCCACTTAGTTAAGAATTAGTCACCTGTGTAGGATGTGGCTCTCACCACCCTACTTCAACCCAACTCACTCAGTAGCACAGAAAATAAACATTCTTTATAGAATAAAAAGGCACTGTCCAGCAGCAATTACAAGTGGACTTATGAGTCATCAAATGAAAGTCAACAGAACATTGTCAGTATTCCAGAAGATTCTGTGGTTTCCATCTTGAACTAAATCATCCAGCATCACCTTATTTGTAACCACCTTCATGGATTTCATAGAACGTTTTTCCTTCCTTTGCTTGCTGTGTTTATTTTAGGTACACATTCTTAAATAATACATGATGTTTTCTTTTTAACTTTGGGTAAAGGGGCAATCCTAAACATATAGCGTTTTAGTCTTATTACATTTATTCATCGTCATGTTTGAAGGTGAATACATAGGACAATTCAGAATTTTAGTTGGTGCTTGTTCAGTGGCACATAATTTTTGATTTTCTACACAGAACACCGAAATCTCTCTTTTTTTGGTGCATGTAATCTTAAAATGATTTTGGTTAATATGAATAACTCCCTTGTCAATGTCCTTGTGAGTAGATCCTGGTGCGTATGGACACATTTTCTCTAAGGTACATACTTTCAGACCATAGCTGTGTGTCTCTTACTTTAACTATGTAAGCATCATCTACTCTCTGAATTGATGGATGTACTTTGCACTCGTACAAGGAATGACTTAGAATTCTGTGTGCTCACTATTCTCTCTCACAACTGATTTTACCATTTTTCTATTTGCATCTCATGTGGGTATGCTTGAAATTTGGCCTTGTGATTTCACTGAAACTGCCACAACACTGAAGTAGGAATGATTATTACACATAAAATACAAGGAAACCAAAGAGCATGTTGGAGCTATCAGGGTGGAATTCAAGGTGTCCTGTTGGCTTGGACTGTTTTGTGAATGTCAATTCCGTGGTCATTTCCAAACCATGTGTCAGGGTCCCCACATTGGCACCTGGAAGTTGGCCATGAAGGGAGTATATACACCAGAGAAAATGGACAGTGCCTTGAATCAGTGTTGCTTTTTTTTTTTTAAAGATTGGCACCTGAGCTAACAACTGTTGCTAATCTTCTTTCTTTCCCCACTTTTTCTCCCCAAATCCCCCCAGTACACAGTTGTATATTTTAGCTGTGTGTCTTTCTAGTTGTGGCATGTGGGAAGCCACCTCAGCATGGCCTAACGAGTGGTGCCATGTCCACACCCAGTATCTGAACCAGTGAAAGCCTGGGCCGCCGAAGCTGAGCGCAGGAACTTAACCACTCGGCCACAGGGTTGGCCCCTGAATCAGTGTTTTTAACAATGAGTTTTTCAGGGACAGTAAGAACAGCGTTGTCACTTCAAACAGCAATGTCCTGAATCCAAGTGATGATATTTCTGAAGAAACTACACAGGCAGCATCTGATGAAACGTGAAGGGCTCATGGAGTCCAGAGAGGGGGTTACAGTTTCATTTTGGATTTATCTCTTTCAGGCTGGATCTTTCTTGTGACAATTTATTGATTTATTAAAATACACTGCATAGTTTGAATGAAGAGATGGATACTCTTTAATACACATCAAGGTATATTGTAATTACAAACAAAGAAAAATGATTACATGAAAGTGTACCAGTGCAGGAAAGGATGAATAGGTGTGGATACAAATCTGCCACATGGGACATACGCTAATTTCACAGAAAGTGGGAAAGATAGGAGCCAGTCAAAATAATTCAACAGTGATGAGGAAGGAAAGTTCCACAGTCTAATGGCAGAAGAGCCCAGATATTGACACTTCATGTGAACAATAATTCCTCCACCTTGCAATGACTTGCAGACAGTTCACACAGCATATGCCCCATATGATCTTGCGGAACCTCCTGGGCACATGAAATTTATTTCCAAGACTCTACCACTGAGTGATGCAGTGTTCTCTCTTGTGTTTACCTCCAGGCTACATCTTGGGGTCTTGTCTGGCTTTGTCAAACCTGAAATAGCAGAATCCCGAGGACCGCCAGGATGAAGCCAGCCACGCCCATCCGGATGAGATTCTCCACTGTGTAGTCTTGGGGGTGTGGACAAAGAGGTCACAGAGGTTAGGGCAGACCAAAATCACCCCAGCATCCCTTGATGTCCTCCCAGAGAGCCTGCCTCCCCTTGAAAGAACGTCATGCTCTGAGCCCAGCTCCACAATTGAGAATTTCTCCCATCAACAACTCTTCGAGTCCGACCTGTTTTGTGATGGGCTGATAGTGTCAGCTGTTTCTAAGAATCAGAAAAATGTGGGGGTGGATGAGGAGTTGATGGGACTCAAGCCTTCTCCCCTGGCTTCTGTGGTCTTATAATTCCCTCTGTTTCTCATGACATAACTGCTATGCAGTCCCTCAATGAATCTTTTCTCTGCTGTGGAAAGATTCCCTCTGTTTTCGTTGGATTCTTTTCAGTCTCCCTTTGTTTTTAGTATTTAGACTTTGCTTCTGAGTCACTTTTGGAACAAAGTCTGAACGTTCCCCAAGAGCTAAAGATTGTTGAGAAAAATAGTCTCCTGATAGAGAAATACTTCAATATTTGTATGCTCTTTATTCATTCTGGGATATGGATCATGTAAGTGAACTCTTCTAGATATCAGAACTTCTGTTTATTCAATAACTGAGGACCCAGGATCCATGGATGAGGCCTTGGTCATACATATATGAGAGTAAGAGGGAAAATACAACCCATACAGTTTAGTTGGGGTAATTACACGAATAAATTAGGTAAGAAGGACGTAGGTCTGTTCTGAACAGAGTCACAATGAAAGTCACACTTGGAGACAAAATTTAAGCTGATTCCTGAATAGGAGAAGGAGCCTGAGAGGAGCCACATGAAGACCCAGATGAGGTCCATCAGAGGCTGTAAGAAGAGCGGGTCCCAACAGAGATCTCAGTCTGCTCTTCAATAAGGAAGAAGTCACATCTGTGGGATGTAGGGAGGATCCAAGGGGAAGGGAAACCTGAGATTAGGGGGCTCGTTGCATTCGAGACAGGCCAAAATGAAGGATAGATGAGGGAGAGTGCATCATTTTTATCATCTCTTTCTCTCTCTCATGCACAAGTGCATTCTCTCTCTCACTCGAAGAACTCTGGAAACCAGTATAATATTTCAGAAAAAAGGCTACTCATTTAATTGTATCTTTTAAATATTTCATGCTAAAATGCTGGATAAGAAAGTGGGTTGCAGGAATGTGTGAATTTCCCAGCTTCTTTGAAATTAAATTCACGTCATGATTAATGGCACTCCATAAACACTAAATAAAAGAAAAATAAGAGAGAACCTCTACCCTCTCCATATCCAATATCCAGAACCAAGGAAGTCCACAGTTCTGGTCTTCAAAGCCTTAAAGGAACAGAGAAAGTCAGTGGTATTGTAAAATTGGGGGAGCACAAATAAATAGGTAATCCTGCAAAGCTTGTTTAACCAGTTTTAACATAAATAACAAAAAGACAGAAAATAATAGATAATCAATTCTAATTATACATCTCGCTGTAAAAATTCTAAATAAGCTTATGCAGGTCAGAAAGTATGAATGAACAATAAACGTCCTTCAGTGGGGCTACTATCCCAATGTTTGATACTAAAGTCTTTGAAATGCATCTCACCAGGGCTAAAATTCAAGAGAAAAAATTCAGAAGATGTACAAAAGTCCAGAAAAAAATTCCAAGCTTCAAATGAGAAAATAATAATTTTTTCCTAAAAAGTACTGAATGTAGCACAAAAATGCACGAACTTGAATAGGTCAATAGTGTTTTATATATATGTATATATGTGTGTTTGTGTGTGTACTATAGATTTTTTTTTTACGTGTTTGACATAAAATGATTTGGACTAAAAGTGAAGATGTTTTCTTAAAATGACACTGAGGTACATCTTAACATTTTACTTAGTCAACATTGTCATATGGTATTTGATGCAAATAAAATGGGTCACAATCTGGAATTAAAGAAGACAAATTTCAATTTTCTTGAAGTTGATACAATTATAACAAGTAAATTGGAGAAGGTTAATTGAAAACAGTTTGTGAGGTAGAGAATTTGTAGTAAGCTAATAGGATATAAATTAATATACTCAAGGCAGTATCATTATTGTCTGTACTTAACTATAATTTATACCTTATAAAGAAATAAAAAATCTTATTTATAAATTGTCTTTGAACAATTCTTAAGCTATGAGTGTAGACAATTTTATGAACAAAACTTCAAAATATGACTGAAGCCACTAATAAACTTCCCTTTTAAGCATCTTTATAAGAAACCTTCATCATAATAAGAAACTATTCTCCGTAATTCATGTATAAATTTAATCTAATCCCAATGAAAATAGGAACAGATTTGTCTATTTTTAAGTCGAAAACCTTTATAACTGAAATTTGTAAATTTATATAGGCCGTGATTGTTATAAAAGTTCTCAGAGAAAGAGAGAGCAATGATAGAGAAGTGTGCACAGAGAATGCAGAGTAGATATGAGCTGCACACAGAGGTGCTGTACAGCAATCCCCTAAGTGACCCCAGTGAGCTGTGCACGATCCCTCCTTAGTCTCAGATGTGCTCTGAGGGGCTAGAGGCCGCCAGGTGAGCACAGGTGGGCCATGCAGACTGGTATCCACGGGCGGGCATGCTTCTCTCTATAGGAGAGTATCTCGTGTGGGTTCCACCTGCACCCACAGCAGATCCTAACTTGGCCCAAGCAGCCTCCTTCCCTGGTCTCAGAGGGCTCAGGGGCCCCCTTGTGTGTGGGTGAAGGGCTCTATCTGAGAGTGTCACGGAAATGAGAAGTAAGAGCTGCCAAACGAATGTCCCTCTGTCCTCTCTCCAACTCCCCCAGCCTGTCCCCTCCATCAGCCCAGCATCGTCCCTGGATCCCAAGTCAGGCCCGGACACCAAATGCTGCAAACCTGCCCCTCTCCTTCTACTCCACACATCCTCCAAAAGTGATTAATGGCCTGGGAACCAAGTGATCTGACAAGGGGAAGTGGCTTTTGGTAGAAAAGCCCACAGTTTTTTTGTGGGAGGAAGAGGGCCGAGCTGCTAAATCAATGGGGATTCCAAATCTTTGCAGTCTCCACAATACTGTGTCTTCCTCTTGCTAAGCTGAGACTCCAGGCCTGATGGATAGAAGTCACACGCACCCGCCCCCTGTCTCCCTCAGCTTTTCAGTCCTGACAAGGTCAGAGTCACTGGGAGAAGCAGGACAGGCCCAGAGAGCGCTGGACCACAAGCAGGTCTATGATGAGCTGCTTCCCAAATGTCTCAGAAGATCAGAAATGAAAGGGCCTCTGGAGGTCATGGCCAGGCAGCTGCCCCTTATTCAGATGGGGAAAGGCTTTCTCAGAAGTTCAAGCTCCCAGGAGAGCTGAGCCCACACAGACTCAGCCTCACCTCCCGGGGGTCTCTCCCACCCCAACTCCTAGACTGTGCGCCTCTGTGGGATCTCCTCCTGCTTGTGGCTCCTGGTGAGTAGTGATGCTGTTGGTCTGAGATGGAGACACCAGGAAGTCAGTGGGTGGGGGCTTCTGTCTTGCAAGTTTAGTGTCATTTCATTTTCTCTTAGGATCAGCAGTCTCATTCCATCCTTCTCCCTTGCTCATCCCTGTCTGAGACTGCAGGGATGGGTGTCCCAGGGGAGGGAGGTTCCCACCTATTTCCACCCTTACATAGGCTAAAGCCTCCTGTGCGGAACCTATTCTATCGTGTCTCACATTGTGGACAGGGCCCAGAGAAGATCTTCTGAGCTCAGAGAGGACAGGGACAGAGGTTGTTCACCTGAGAGCAGGAGCTCTGGGACCAGGAACCTGTCCAAACTCACCATCTCAGGAGGCACTGAGACCCTCTCACTGGATCCCACTCCACATATAGTAAACCACGATGGGGGCTGAGAAGGGGTGGCTGCTGTTCTTCCTGCTCCAGCTCAGCTGCCCCTCCCCCAGCCTTGGCCCCCAACACCTCCCTCTGCCATGACCACCACACTCATCATCCTCCCAACCTCAGAGCTCCTGGAGGCCTGTGGTCCCCCGGCATCCCTGCCCGATTTGCAGCCCCCCTGGGACACAAGCCTGTCCTTGAGTATCTGAGGGTCATCACATCCTCTGAGAGACTCTCAGAACTCCCTGGGTTGGTCTGTGCTTCCTATGAGCAAAAGGGGCTTCAGTGACTCACCAGTGGTTGAGATGGGCCCTGGGGGTGAGAGGCTTCAGCTGACCCTGAACTCCCCACTTCACTCAAACTGTTGTCCTCCATCTGCCCTGTGGCCCCCAAGACCCTCCTTCAGCCCACCAGGCACCTTCTATATCCTGGTGAGAGGGAAGGAGGTGGGCAGGGGTGGGAGGGCCTCTGAGGGGCAGATCCCCTCTGGAAGAGCCCCCCTCTCTCCCATCACAGCCCAGAGATCTCTGGAGGACAGAGCCCCAAATATATCATAGGGACAGTGGGAACATGGCTGGTGCTCCTCACCTGAGACTCGGAGCTCCAGGGGGTCACTGGGCAGTGACAACAGGTAGGAGAAGGTGCTGTCTGAGCCATAGCACCTGTAGGTCCCCTCGTGGTCTGAGGTCACAGGGCCAAAGCTGAAGTTGGCCTGAAAGGGGGCAGCCGTGTCCTGTAGAACAAGGTGCTGGGGAGGAGCAGGTGACCCCTCCTTGGATAGATGGAAGGTATCCATCCAGATCTCAGAGCGGCACTGCAGGGTCACGTTCTCTCCCCAGGACACTGAGGGCGCTGGCTGGGCCAAGAGGGAGAGTTTCTCATACATTCCTGAGGTAAGGGAAGGTTGTAGTGTGTAGATAGCAGTGACCTCCCCACAGGCCCTTGACTCAGAGCTCAGGGACCACCGTCCTCTCTTCAGGGACTCTGTCTGTGAATCCCTCTCAGTGCCTCTCCGTCCCTCTGGGTGGGTCTCTTTTATCTCCTCACCTCTCACTCTCCCCTTCTCGCTCCCTTTTGCTGGACCACTGCTCTATCCCAGCCTCTGTTCTAGGACCTCTCCCTGGACCCCATCACCATCAGGGGGACCCTGGGCCCACCACCCTAATCAAACAATCAGGACATGAGGCTCCTCAAATGTGATCAGGATGTCCAGATGGTACTGGGAGCCAACCACACATATGACTTGACTCCATGGGGGGCAGTCGGTCCTCAGAGCCTCCTGGGGATCAGGATGGAGGTGAGGGGAGCTACTTCTCCACACTTCAGCCTGGCTGCCCCTCCCCCAGGCTGGGCTCCAACATCTCCCTCTGCCGTGACCATGCCACCACCGTCCACCAGTCTCAGATCCCTGGAGCCCTGTGGACCCTCCATCTCTGCCGGACTCCCAGCCCCCTGGAGACAAGCTGTGCTGAGAGAGGAGCTAGGAGTCAGATCAGCTGAGTCTCAAGAGACAGGCCTGGAGAAACTGAACTCTCTGGGCAGAGGCCCCTGTGACTCACCAGCCATTAAGTTGTGTTCTGTGGGTGGGGAGGTGGGGTCCCCAGAGGGTCCTGGGAGAAAGGACAAGAGGAGATGAGGGGCTGGATGTTCCCCCAGAGACCTTGTCTCTGCTCACACTTTTCTCCTTTATCTTCCCTGTGGTCCCCAAGGCTCTCCCTCCACCCACCTGGAGAATTCTGGTGATGGGGACGTGGGAAGGGTCATGCATGGGAGGGCTCTGTTTCCTTCCCACACTCTGAGGGGCAGATCACCCTCTGTGAACCTCCCTCAGTGCCCCCTCGATCCCATCCCAACCTAGAGGTCTCTGGGGGCCAGGGCCCTGAGCTGACTGACTCAGAAAGGACAGGGTGAAGGGCCCTCACCTGAGACCATAAGCTCCAGAGGCTCGCTGGGTTCTGACCACACCTGGGGTTTGTTGCTGTAATAGCTGTAGCATCTGAATATCCAGCTGTGGATGGGGGACATGGGGCCCACAAGGAAGAGGGCCTGGAACTGCCCTTTGAGTTGTTGTGAGTTCTGAGTCCAGGACAACTTGTGTTCTCCTTCCTTAGTGAGAATGAATCTGTCAAATCCCCACCATGAGCCACACTGGAGGGTCACGTTCCCTCCTGAGGTCACCACAGGGCTCGGCAGGTCTGAGAGGGTGGGTTTGCTGTAGGATCCTAGGAGAGGAGGAGTCAGAGTGTTAAATGGGGCTGCCACCTCCCTCATATCCCCCCAGGGCTGGGCTGTGAGAGGAGAGACAACCCTGAGAGCAGACCCCCTTCCTGAGGGCAGAGCCTGAGGCTGAGACCCCTGAGTGTCCTCTCACCTGTCACCACCAGATCAAATGGATCACTGGGCTTTGACCAATCTGTGGATCTTCGATAGTAACAGCGATACCTTCCTGCGTAGATGTCTGTCATATGAGGGGTGGAGAACCTGGCCTTGTCCCTGGGCCCCCGTGGGCTCTGTCTGTCCCAGGGAGATAGGCTTCCCTCTTTCTCCAGACGGTACTCTTGGGCTCTCAGGGGCCCCTGACACCAGACGGTCACAGGCCTCCCCCAGTGGATCACAGATCCTGGCTCAGCCCCGATGGTGGGTTTGGGGAGGGTCCCTGCAAAGAAATCAGAGGCTGGATTCCAAAATCCTCATCCTCCCAGCTCAACTCATGGCTTCTCTTGGTTTTATACCCATCATCCCAGAATCACTGCCTTGCTGCTGAGTGCTCAGGGGCTGAAGTAAGAGATGGGGACATGGCAGCCTGAAGATAACTCACCTGCCTGCACCTGGTTCCTTGTGCCCAGACTCAGCCCTGGAAGACAGCCCTTGTGAGAGTTGCACCCAGATGTCTGGGTCGATTCTTTTCCCATCAGCGCCCCAGTCCACTCGAGCCTCCCCATCCCCTCCTTCTGTCCCCCTTCCCGTTCTCCACAACTGACCGAGCCAGACAAGAGCGGAGAGGATAGAAACCATGGCGCCTGCTTTGAGTGCTTCCACTGTGCAGATGGAGGAGACCAGGGACCCGAGGGACAGAGAGGCTCACAGGATGTGGCAAGTCAGGGGCTGCTGCCACCCCTTCACGTCCCCACAGGTGTGGACCAATAGGAAGAGGGTGGCCCCTCTCTGGGCCTGGGTTTGCTTTTCTCCAGAGTAGGTGCTCAGGAGGACTCCAGGCCCTCCGGAGACATCTCTGCTCAGAGTTGAGGACTCATCTGATTCCCAAGACTCTTCTCCTTGGCGTGAATGCCCCTCACGGAGGATGGGGACCCAAGTTCTTGTCCTGAGCCAACTTCTGATAGGCTGGCTCTCAATAGGACCCACCACATGTTTCCTCAGTGCCTCTACAAGTGGAATTTACATTCTGTCTTTGGCCAGTCTATAAACAAATATTTATTGAGCTCCTACTATGCATGAGGCATCGGTGCCGGACACCAAAACTACATCTGTGATCCGGGTAAACCCATTTGCTGTATTTTGAGGACTCAAATGAACAGAACATGGATATTCAAAGGCTAATATTGTAATTAATTTGTTGGCAAAGGAGAAATATGGAGAAACATGGAAGAACTAGAGATCACGACTAGACTATGGTTGAGGGAATATCTGTTTGAGAAGGGGTAGACCTATGGGATGGGACACCCATGAGACAGTCCAGAGATGAAAGGACCCTAGAGACATGGGGAATGTCTGAACAGGAGGGAGAGAGAGGGGAAGGTGGTGTCCAGTGATGCCAGGTGCTGTCGACCATGTGAAGACGTTGGGTTGTATTTTTAAGAGAAAAAGAATATATCAACAGTGACTTATTTTAGCAAACTTTTATGAGTCTTCTTAGCTGCTATGTAGCAAATAAATAAAAGTAAATAAACAATAATGGTTGAAGTCCAATTACTCCAATATTGTTGTGTCAAACTGTGTTGTTTTTTAAATTTTTAAAAAATTTTTGTTTACTTATTTATTTATTTGAGATTCATAATAGTTTACATCATTTGAAATTTCAGTTGTATATTATTTCTTGTCTGTCACCACATAGGTGCTTCCCTATCTCACTTATATGTGGAATATAAACAAACACATGGACAAGGAAAATAGTTCAGTGGTTACCAGGAGAAGGGGGTGGAAGGTGGACACAGGGGGTGAAGAGCAAACAGTATTGTTAATGATTTATGTGGACATCTCATACGAAGCTCACATGCTCCTCAATGAGACAAAAACACACAACAGAGGATAGAAATGACACATAGTTTCCCTTTGTTGTTTTTTGGACTGGGAGTTGGGAAGGAATTTCTCAGGTCCAAGCTCTGCAGGAGAGCTGATATGGGAGAGCACAGATGTGTCAAAGGGCCCATCATCTGAGTGTGTGTGTATTTGTGGTGTAACTGCACTGTCTTGTTGGGAGGGAAGGAGAAGCAAGAGCTGAGGGTGGAGGGTCACATCTGGACCGATTATGAACAGCCTTGAGTTCAGAGAGAAGAGTTTGGAGTTTCCCCTGAAGACAGTGAGGACCACAGAAGGATTTTGGGCAAGGAAGGGACAGATCCTGAAATAGAAGAATGATTAGAGAGACTGATACGTGGAGGGTGAACTGGAGAAGGGAGTGTGGGCCTGCAGCTCAGAAAACAGGAAGGTGGTGGATGTGACCACACAGGCCAGATGTGTCCAGGTGTGGGCTGTGGGTTGGACTCTGTGGATGGGAGGACAGCAGGGGTCAGAGCGATTCTGGAGGCTGAATTGTATATACTGGGTGGTTGATTGAGAGGTGTAAGAGACAAGGAAGTAGAGTGACCTTCACTCCCTGCCTTGGCTGACTTGAGACATCAATGGTGCCCTCAGAGACATGGTGAACCAAGGGCTAGGGGGGATAGAGGGGCCTGGGGAGTTTGGTACAATACGCTTCTGCTCCCACAGGAAAGCACAACTCTTCCTCTTGTTCCTGGAATGTGGGTTTTTCTTCTCACAAAGAGTCCCCTGACTGACATGCTGGTTTCTGTAAGAAGCAGGACCCCTCTCTCTATCACGTTGGGGTGAATCAGTTGAGTCATTTCTGCCTGTTGAGAGCTCCCTTTGATGCTGTGTGTCGCTCTCCACTTCAAACTGCAGAGACTGTTCAGGATTAAGATAAGAATGGTCCTCATCATAGCTCCCGTTTCAGGACAGGGATATATACAAGAACAAGAAAGGAAGTAGCTGCTAAAAACGGTCGACCCATTCAGGAAGTGGCAGTGCTATAATTTATATTAATGTTTATATGTATTTTTTATTTTCTCACTCACGTATTAACTAATTAATTGCTTAATTTAATCTACCTATTTACCTATCCATCCAGTTTTATAGAGATGTGATTGACATACATCACTCTGAGTTTATGGTGCACAGCATAATGGCGTGACTTACACATATAGTGAAAAGATGACCACAGTAAGCTTAGTTAACATTCATCATCTCACACAGAAAAAAATAAAAGGAAAAAAATGGCTTTTTCTTGTGATGAGAACTCTTAGGATCTACTCTCTTAACTACTTTCAGATATACCCTGCAGCAGTGCTAACTACACTCATCACATTGGACATTCCATCCCCAGTACTTATTTATCTTATAACTGGAAGTTTATACATTTTGGCCCCCTTCATCCAGTTCTCCAACCCCACCCTTACCTCTGGTTAGCGCAAATATAATCTCTTTTTCTAGGAGTTTCTTTTTTTAGATTCCACATATAAATGAGATCATACAGCATTTGTCTTTCTCTGACTTATCTCATGTAGCATAATGCCTTCAAGGTCCATCTATGCTGTTGCAAAAGGAAGGATTTCCTTCTTTTTATGGCTGAATAATATTCCAGTGTACATTCACTTCTTTGCTCTTGATTTTGTTGCTTGTGAAAAGTGTTGATAAAAACTTGAACAAAGCATCTTTTAAAACGCAATTTTAAATAATAACGGTTATACATGGGAGAAAGGATCAAGTTCTACTTGAGGAAAATGAGGTGAAATATGAACCCTAATCTGATACTGCATCAGAGGCTACCCTGAGGTCCAGGTGGCCCTACCTGATGACCAGTCCCTTCCCCTGAGGTAGGTCTCATGGGAGGCCCTGCAGATCCTAATTTCAAGACAGGTTGGAGAATGAATTTGGGTTGCTGGTCCTAGGAGGGCTCTATGATTCCAGCATTTTGTCCCCCTCTCATTATAGAGATGACAATCATCTGTCACTGGACCCCAGTTTCAGAAATTCACAGCCTCCTTCAGGTGAACACAGAGCGGGGTTAGTGTCTGGGGAGTGTGCAGGTAGAGTGTCCAGGCCGAAATAAGAACCTAGGATCCACAGGACATGCTGCTCTCCTTGTATTTCCAGAAGTGTCACCTTGGGTCCCCCAGTGCCATCTCCATCAGTCCAAACTCCTCTGCTCCCACACAGCCCTGGGCAAAACATGCTGTTCTTGATCCACACAGTAACGAGGGAATGGAGAGGACTCACTCACGTGCCCAGATCCTCTGGGTAAGGCATAAAACTTGAAGGAAACCACATCAGAGATGATTCATCCCCAGTGGATTCCAGTCTTCAGTGCTCCCCCACCCACAAAACCTGGTCATGTGCCGTTAAGAAGCCCAGATTTCCACCATGACCCTCTCCTCCCTTACCTTCAAGGACTCAACGAGACCCAGGAAGCTAAAGAATTTGGGGGACATGGTGCTACTTCTGTTGGACAAGAGACAGATGCTGAGCAGAGCTGAAGAATTCACAGGATGTGGTGGGCGAGGTCCCCACATCATAGATTGTACAGTCCACAAGGTGCCTGTCACACAGGAAGGAGCTGCTTCTCACCCAAGGATGTCAAGGGCTGAGGGTCTAACTTGAGCTACGTCACAGAACACGTCCCCTGTCTAAATTATCACATTTATTTTTCCTAAACTCTACAATCACGTAAGTATTTTAACAGATATGGCTGCATTTTGTAAAGCATAGTTGTTATTCAGTTTATAACATGCAATATTCCCTTCTCCAGCTAATATATAAACATTAACATTATGCAACTCTTTGCAGAATGAATATCTAATGTTTCTCCTACTGATATTTTTTAGGCATTGTACTAGCTGCAAAATTTTTACTTCTGTGGAAAAAAAAAGTTAACTAGAAACTTTGTTTCTTTTCCCCCAGCTTTATTGGGATATAATTGACAAAATGCAATTGTAGTATTTAAGATGTACATCTTGATTTTGTGATACATATGTACATTTTGAAAAGATCACCATGTCAAGCTAGTTAACATATCCATCACCTCACATAGTTAACATTTGTGTGTTTGTGTGTTTGTGTGTTTTGGGAACTCTTGAGAAATCTAAGTACATTTTGAGTATATAATACATTATTATTAACTATAGTCACCACACCATACATTAGGTCTCCAGAACTTATTCATCTTACAACTGAGAGTTTATAACATTTGATCAATATGTCTTCTTTTTCCCCAGCTCCAATTCTCTGGTAACCACCGTTCTGCTGTGTGTTACTATGAATTCAGCTTTTTTTCTTCTACATATAAGTGAAATCATGCAATATTTTTTTTTCTCTATCTGGCTTATTTCACTTAGCATAATGTCCTACAGGTTCATGCATGTTGTCATAAACGGCAGAACTTCCTTCTTTTCTGAAGACTGAATAATATCCCATTGTGTGTGTATACATATATAATTATATCACATTTTCTAATCCATACTTCTGTTGGACACTCGTGTTTTTCCCATATCTTGGCTATTGTGAATGCACTGCTGCAATGAACATGGGCTGCAGATATCTCTTCGAGATCCTGATTTCACTTTCTTTTTCTATATCCCCAGAGTGGCATTGCTGGATCACAAGGTAGTTGTATTTTCAGTTTTCTGAGGAAG